AATTATTTAGAACAAAATATACTGAGGGTGTGGGTGGACTTGAGTGGGATAAACACTGGACATGTGTGACAGTCTCCTGAGCAGGATGTCTCTGTGTTTGCAGGTGTCCAGTCTGACGTGCAGCTGGTGGAGTCCGGGGGAGGCTTGGTGAAGCCTGGGGAGTCCCTGAAACTCTCCTGCATGGCCTCGGGATTCACCTTCAGTAACTATGCCATGCACTGGGTCCGTCAGGCTCCAGGGAAGGGGCTGGAGTGGATCTCAGCCATCAGTTATAACAGTGGTAGCACATACTACGCGGACTCCGTAAAGGGCCGATTCACCATCTCCAGAGAAAATGACAGGAACACGCTGTATCTGCAAATGAAAAACCTGCGAACCGAGGACACGGCCCTGTATTACTGTGCAAAAGACACAGTGAGGGGACCTCAGTGCGAGCTCAGACAAAAACCTCCCTGCAGGGGCGCGAGAGCCCAGCAGGGGCCGCTGTGACCCTCAGAGAACCAAGCAGGGCCCCAGGAGCAGGTGCAGAGGAGGAAGCAGTGGCATGAGGGCTTCCTGCAGGCCTCTGGGGTTTCCCTTCTGTGCTAACATCACACGACCTGACGATACCGTGCCATGTATGTGCTGAGGATGACTTCTGAAGTATCCAAATTCAAGCAAATATTCTGTTAAATTTAATAGCGTATTATTGAAGTATTCACTTTCTCATCATCTATATATGAATTTCACTTGATGGGTGCCCATTTGGAAGCAACTTGTGAACTTAGTTTTCTTTTTGAATGTCTAATCATCATCATCCTCCAAAAATGAATCTGCTGATATAATCCTAATTATGAGGCGTTGTCTCATGCAGAAACAAATGCTTCAGATTTGGAAACTAAATCCTTCCCACCCTTATTTACAGAGTCTGAGGACACCCAGCTCTCTCCTGTGCTGGCCACCTCGGGAGCTCTGGTCTCCAGGATCAGCCCCAGCTCCATGGCCAGCCCAGAGCTAAGGGTCAGAGGGAAGAGGGGCAGTAGGACTGAATTTGGGGCAGCATCCAGGGCCCTTGTGATCCTCTCTCTTTCTCTCCTTCCTTCCCTCCTTCT